AACATAAAGTAGTTCATTTTACTATTAATTATCTCATTAGATATGACTAAACATTTTTTCTGGTTTACATATGTCAAAATAGGTTGGAAATTTTGTCATTGTTGCGACAATTGATTCTATTGATTTGGCAAAGAAATGGTACTACGTTTCCTGAAAAGCTTGCAAGAAGAAACTTTAAACATATGGAGATGATTCTGGTGATGAGGATCAGCATCACCCTCGATACAACTGCGAAAAGTGCAATGATGTTTATGACATTATTCACTGGTATTAACTTCTTTTTTTCATCAATATTTAATTTACCTTATTTATTATTAGATGTTATGAAATTAATAAAATATATTTTATATTATAGTTTCTACTTGGTCCTCGTGTCTCCGATGAATCAATAGGAGAAACCAAATTTTTGTTGTTTAACAAAACTGCCAAGAAACTAACTGGGATATTTGCTTGGGAGTTAGTAAAAGAAGCTGCTCAGGTATCCCCTTTAGTTATAATGTATATTGGAAAATAAATAAATTTTTATATGTAATTTATATTTATATATTTTTTCAGGAAAATGAATTTTTTATGCCTCAAGCTTTAACCGATTTAATTGTGAGTAAGTTTTTATTCAAGATCATTATTGGACCGGATAAGAAAAAAGTTAGTAACTCAGCATATGTTGTTGATTTAGTGGTTGACGATGCAGCTATGATTGAAGAATTTGAGGCTCAACCTATACTGCAGGTAATATAATATTATAGTTCAATGTTTACTTATTTATTAGCAATATTACAATGAACCAAATTGATTATTTATGCAGTCATCTATTGTAATGTATTATGATCACAATATGGAAGCATATGAGTCATTTTCAACAGCATCATCATCCAAAAGAAAGGGAGAAAGTTCGAGTCCACTGTCTATTGCAGATCAAAATCCGGCCACAAAAAAAGCTAAAAAAAGTGAACGGGAAAGTGGAGCAAATTAAGAAGAAATGAATTGTTTCTGTTTTCTACTAGTTTTCTTGAAATTTCATTATTTTGTCGTTGGGTTTTATATTTATCAGCATCAGTAATGAGCTGTCATTTGTTTTGTTTTACGTACTTTGAACTTCAGCATATTTTCCCTATTTATAAAATATATTTTAATGTATTAATTCTATAAAGTCAGCTAGTCGTCATTACTATATTTTCAAATTAATTATATCTACTATAATTAAAACAATTATTAATATCACATACACAAAATTAAAAGTTGACAATAACTCTTTTTGTGTCACTAGGTGACAATAACTCAAAACGCTTAATTATTTGCTTAGATAGGTTAAGCTACAATATATATATAAACGAATAAAAGATAGCTGAAATTTAAAGAATACTTTACATAGAAAACAAATTATTCATCTTCAAATCCGCATTATACAATATTTCAATTCTTAAATCTGCAATCAAATATATTGCCTTCGAATACACTTACCATTAAAAATAAGCTATCGAGTTCATAAATATACTAAAATCATAATAGTAAATCAGTTCATATTCAATACACAGGTAATACTGTCAATTATAGCAATGAATAGATTTTTTGTGTTTTTGAAACTATATTTCAAAATAAAAAGATATGAGATCTGTGACATTAAAAATCAGATCTTTGACATTATACGTAAATATATTCTTTCGTTTTTCACAATCTAATTTTCAAAATCTTTATAATAAATTGAATGAAAAGGGTATCTGAAATAATTTCATCATCGTCATTCTCAAACAATGAAAATTTTACATTTTTGTTTGACCCATAGAAATAAGCATGTCTCAGAACCCTCTAAAGATTTCCTACTACAAAGCACTTAAAATCTTAAAACGTTAATTTAATGAAGCGTTCGAATTTAGAACCAAATGCTATACCCTCGTATCAAAAACGTAAGGGACAATCTATACTCTCTAAATACATTAATTATTGTAATCATTATTAACATCTACTACATTCATATGAGGAAAACCATGGTACAAGAACGGGATGGAGAATCTTCTACTATAATCATGGTACGACGATTATTTCAACAATTCGTGGTAGATGTCTACACAATGATTGAGACAAATATACTGCATTATCTATTTTCTAATCAGAAGAAGCTTCGGTCTGAAAACTGCGACAATATTCAAAAAGCAGTTGACCAAGACGATTGTAATTTAGCAGAAAAAGGTAAACGAATCATTATACCGTCTTCTTTCAATGGAGGTAAAAGATATATGATGCAACATTATCTTAATGTGATGATAACAATAAAATATTATGGTTATCCAGATCTTTTCATTACAATTATTTGTAATCCTAAGTGACCAGAAGTTACAAGGTATCCTCAGAAACACAACTTAAAATCAGAAGATAGGCTTTTCAAAATGAAACTAGATGGTCTAATACACGATCTAACAAAAAAGGATAGAAAGGCACTTTTGGAAAAGTTATTTCAAGTAATATCTTATTTATCTTGTTCCGTTTTCATGAATTCTAAATTTTATATATTTTGTTAAAAACAAACTAATTTATTATTACTTTATTTCAGTTTTGTACACAATTGAATTTCAGAAAAGAGAACTTCCACATGCACATATGATACTTTTTCTGCATCCACATTCAAAGTTACTTACCGGTGAAGACAATGACAAGTATATAAGTGCAGTACTTCCTGATAAAGATCTGGATCCGTACTTAAATGGAGTTGTTGGATATTCTATGATACGTGGGTCATGCGGACCTGCTAATAAAGCCAATGTATGTATGATTGATGGCAAGTGTTTTAAATTATTCTCGAAGCCTTTTAGTGCAGTCACTAAAGTAGATGATGCTGGATTTCCTATTTACAAACGGAGGAAAGATGGAAGATTGGTTCACAAGAAAGGTTTTGACCGTGACAATAGATATGTCGTTCCATATAATAAAGATCTATCGCGTCGTTATCGTGCTCATATTAATGTTGAATGGTGCAACCAAACACGCTCTATCAAGTACCTTTCCAAGTATATTACTAAGGGACATGACTATGTGAATGGATCATTAGGAAGATAAGATGACAACGATGATCATGTTGATGAAATAAAAAAACACTTCAGCTGCAGGTATTTTCATTTACGATTTGGAAAAACTATTATTATTTCTATAGTATTTTGATAATGGTGAGACTGACCCTCTGATACAAATATTGCTAGATAGATCACGATTTAATTTTAGAAATAATAAATTGTGACAACTGAAAATGATCATTCCTTCCAAATTTTCGAAAATTAAATCAAGAACTAATCAGATATGCTTAATGTTCATTAGCTAAATTTTAGTTTGCCTGATTTTTTTTCAGATACATATCTGCATGTGAAGCTTCTTGGAGAATTCTTGCTTTCCCTACCCAATATAGAACTACATCAGTAGAAAACTATCGTTCCATCTCCCAGGTCAGCAACTGGTTGTTTACAATGAAGATGACCCTGTTGAAGAAGTACTAAATCGTATTTCTGTTTGGAAGTCCAAGTTTGTAGGCTGGATGGAAGCCAATGCAATATATCCAGAAGCAAAAAATCTCACTTATTCAGACTTTCCATCGTACTTTGTTTGGCACCTAAAAACAAGAATGAGGAAACCAAGGAAAAGGACTTTTGTTATTGGAAATATCACTTATGTGCCACCAGATTTAGGTGAGGTTTATTATTTACGGATTTTGCTAAATATAGTCCGAGGTCCAACAAGCTTTATAGAGATAAGAACATTAAACGGATTTATCCACGAGACATACAAAGATGCATGTTATGCATTGAGTTTGCTGGACGATGATAAATAATATATTGAAGCTATTAAAGAGGTAAGTCTCTGGAGTTCTGGAAAGGGTCTATGAAGGCTGTTTTCTATAATATTGCTTTCGAAGAGTGTCACAACTCCATTAAATGTATAGAATGCTACTTGGGAAATACTATTTGAGGATATATTATACAACCAGAAGAAAAAAGAAGAATCCCGTAAGATCATATTTAATACAAAATTATTTCTAATATTATTTGCATCATTTTATGATTAGAGTTTGAACTCCATCTTTTTTTTTTCTTTCATATTTGAATTTACCAGAGGATCAAATTAAGAGCTTAGCTTTGGCGGACATTCAGTCATTCCTGCTTATCAACGGAAGCTCATTGGAAGTTTTTAAAGGGATGCCACGTCCATATGCTAATGTATATGATATTGATGTTAACACTTTGATCAGTGACGAGCTAAACTACAACCATGATGAGCAAACAGAAAAACACAGTGAGCTATTAACCAAGATAACAAACAAGCAAAAAGCTGTGTACCAAGAGATACTAGATGCAGTAAATGGTGATAAAGGTGGTCTTTTTTCGTTTATGGCTTTGGATCCGAGTTGCACGGGAAGAGAAACTCGCGGTTGAATGGTATTTCGTTAATTGAGGTCTATTAAAACATCGGCATCATCATAGAGCAGCGGCGAAGTGATTGACGATGGAGATGCGCACGGCTTAGCTGTGCCGTAGGTGGGAGGCTTCAGCAGCGGTGAGTTTGTCGGTGGAGGCGCGAAGATTTTAGTGGTCAGGATAAGGTCGGTGCTGTTGTTAGGCTGAGTTATGGAACCGGTGAGTCAACTAGGTGATCAAAGCAAAAACTTTTAAAAGAATGTAAAAGTTTAAAACTTTATGGATTTTTTTATTTAAGTTTTTTGGGGATGAGTAGAGGGATATACTGCGGGATGGCAGTAGGAGGAAGGTTTATATGTGAAATAACAGAGATTGATTACACAGGAGGTTTTAATGCCTTTTTTATAGCAACTTCAATAGGGGTTTTTACGGCGGGTTTTTAGCGGAATATAAAAACCCGTCTCTTAACTCTTAACTAAAAAAGCTAAGAACCGGTTCTTAAATAAGACATTGAAGAACCGTTCTTAATTATTTTAGTTAAAAGTTAAGAGATGGGTTCTTATATTTCGCTAAGAACCCCGCCGTAAGGACCCCTCATTGAAGATGGTCTTTGATGCTATTATGGCTGGTCTTGGCCTTGCTTCTCCACCTATCATGGCTCTTCTCTACATTCTTGATGTAAGTGTAGAGTAGAGTGAGTGATCTCTCTTTTGATTGTAGTGCAAGGTTTCGTGTTGATTGAGATTGTTTCTTTGTTTAGGATGAAGTTGTGAAGGTGTCGTCTCATGCTCGTGCCATTAGAGATGTTGAAGATGAGGAGCTTCACGGCTTCTTCCATGAAATGTCAGCTTGGCAGGTGAATAATTCTTAAAATATAGAATCTTTTGAAACTTCCAGAATTGGTACCATCTGAGCCCTTCTTGTGTTCTATATTTAGTTTATCGTGCACTAGCTGATATTTTCCTAAGAGGCACAGATCTCTTCTCAGATTCTCGTGGAAAGCTCGCTTTGGTATGCTCTCTCTTCTTACTTGTCTCCTCTCTTCTCTATTCTTTCTCATCTTTTTCAATTCCTTATTGTAACTTTCAGACCGGAATTTTGCCTCCGTTTGTACCGTTTGCTCAAGCATGTGCAGCCACTATCACTGCTGCTCTCACCGGTTCTCTATATTACATCGCTGCTTCCCCTAAAAGGTTTCTCACTACTCTTAAAACCCTATCTATATTTCAAAACCCTTTTAACATCTTAACTAATCTAGTTTGTTATCTCTGTTAGACCCGCCTAATATAGTGGCCCCAGTCTTGAAAACTCGGTCTGCACGTGATGAGCTGAAGAAGCTGTTTGCAGGTTCCTAAACTCAGTAATTCATAATGCTATAGATAACATTTTACTAAGAAGTACTTAAAAGGCTTCCTCTGTTACTTCCTGTTGGTACGAGCGAACACAAATGGTGAAGATCCTCTCCTCTTCTCGAAGGGCTCTTGGGTCTATTCCTCGGCTTTGAATGGATTCAGGTACCATTACTACTCTTCTTAACCCATTTCTACGACTTGCTGAGTAACAAATCACTGAAAGCAAACTCAATAACATTGCAGAAAAACAATCTTCTTGCTCCTATCATCACACATGGCATATACTCAGCTGTTGCATTGGGTAATGGAAGCTTCACCATCACCAGCAACGACTGCGACTAAGGGTGCAGAAGCTTGAACTGATGTGACAGCAACTCAACATAGATAAATAGCTAAATGAACATTACCCTTTGTTTTGTCCAAAAAAAAAAAACATTACCCTTTGTTTTGAAATTTCTGTGAATCTTCTTACGTATTGAGCAACCATTGACATTGCACAAATAGATAGAAAGCAAAGTGTATAGAACCCTTATTAGCTAACAATAAGAGAAGCTATGTGAATCTTTTTTTATTGCATTCACCTTTAGTCTTGTTCAAGCTGAGAAATGATCCTAACGAAGACATCAAAGCCTTGGCACATGTCTGTCAGAAGGCAGTACTCGTTCTTTGCATGATATGTAGCCATGAGACCTGTAGAGTGAAATAATGGATTTAATTACCTAAATGTAATCCCAGAAAAAGGAGAGAATCCGAGGAGGGTGCTGTATATTACCGTATCCTGAAGTTTGCACATCGAAACCTTCATCCTGTAAACCCAAAACCATTAGAAAGAGAAAGTTACAGAGCACAGTCTTGAAGCTTACAGAGAATAGAAGTGGTGGCTTACCTTGAGGTCTCGGATCAGAGGCAGAGTACCAGTGATGGAGTAAGGCTTCACGTGCCCAACAACTTCTTCAGTTGCTTTGCATAGAACGTGAAAGCCGCGGGAATCAAGATTACATGCAACTCCAGCTGATGCTTCATCAAAGCTTAACGTGAGCCTGCAGGAGACAACGATTGAGATTTTTCAAAGATCTTGGGAGGAGGAATGAAATCAGGTGAGGAGGAAAAACCAAACCTTCCACGTAGGTTCTCTTCCGGCAAGACGTATTTCGAAACAGGACCACGAGTCCCGAGTTTCTCTATGTTAGTGTTTATGTCGTCAACATACTCTTGCAGCTTCTTCATCACTTCCTTCACGCTGCAAAAACAAGAATATTCATTCTTAGAAGTGTTTCTAAATGCATAAAAGAAACGACTATGAACGAAGTGTGAAGAGACTTACTCATAGAAAGGAGTCAACCTGAAACCAAAGAATACATAAGAAATAAGTAAAACAAACGATGAGACATCTCTTGGAATACGGTAGTATGCATAACTTAGAAACATAACCTGACATCACCGGAAACAGTACAATCTCCAGGGATTTGGTTGATTCCACCTCCCGGATCTGCAAAACACAAACAAATCCTTTTAAGTACACAACATTTTGGAGTCATTACTCATACAAAACATTATGCTTACAACTCCATTGTGTTGGCTTCATGGTGGATGGCGTCGCAAAACCATACACTTTCTCTTGTTCGTGAGGCGGAAAGTCTCTGTAGAACCGGGATTGGATCTCCTTAAGCCCTTCCATTCCTAACTCCATCGCATTAATAGCCTACGCATAGGAAAAAAAAAAAAACAGATTAATGCCAAGCCTGTAGCTTCATCAATCCGAGCAATCATCCGTATACATACCTTGTGAGCTAAACCGCTGTGGAAAAGCTTTCCAGTAACATGAAGCTTCCAGGGAATCATACCACCGGTTCCAATACACGGCTGCTTATCCGCCGTATCAATCCAAAACCTTCAAAAGAACAAACACATCAAAAAGACTTACAATGTTCTGTCCGATTAGCTACACAAAAAGAAGATTGGAAAACTAACAATGGTCCGGATTTGAGCTTGTCAAGAAGTTTGTCTTTAACAAGCATGTCCACACCAACACCTGGAATAGAAGAGTTCTCTTCACTAGCGATGAAAACCGCCACCACCGATGATTTCAAAGCCGGTTTAGTCTGCCCAAGCCTCTTCATGAGCTCAGTCACAAGAGCAACGTGACCAAGACAATCTGTAGTCCCACGACCACGAAGCTTATCCCCATCAATGCTTAATGAGAAAGGATCAAACTCCTATGAACAAAAAAAAAAACAAAAGAATCAAACTTTCTAATCAATACAACAAATTAAACCCTAAAGTACAAAAAGTTTTGAACTTTGGTACGATTCTTATCAGTTCCTCGGAAAGTAACCACAACCCATCACCAAGCTTTGCCCTATTTCTAATGGGTACCGATCAAAAAAACGGAATCAATTGAAAATTACCCATTCATCGGGATTAGCCGTAACGACGTCCATATGCATCCCAACGAAAGACACGATCTTTCCGGGGACAGATCCTGGGTACTCGACGATGAGGTTACCTCTTCCTGAGTGATACGCCACATGATTGATCACGAGAGGACCACCGCCAGATTCGGTGCTGTAAGGACGGAGGGAATCGCGGACGTGGTTTACGATTCGATCCTCTTGCGGGATGAGCTCCGGGGGGTTGTTCTGGACGAACTTTGATTCGCCGATCAGTTTCGATAGGAGTGAGACGAACGAGTCTTTGTTAAGAGTGCCTAGTGATTCCATCATCGACGACGCCATTGTTTGCACACCACAGATGTTTTTTTCTTTTGCGAAAATGGACTTTGAGGATGCGGCGATGGCGAAATCTTGTGTGTTGTCGAAGGTTTTTTAAAACTTTTCTGTGTTGGGTGGAGTGTTACGTCTTGTGATAATGTCTGCGTAAAGTTGTTAACTAAAAATTGATACGGAAGTGAATAAATAAATGAGTCAATTAGGCCAAAACCCAAAAACAATTGTGAAATTAGGAGAATACCTTAAACATTGGTCGAGGCAATTGGAGTTTTCGTCTCCAGTGCCCGTGGATGAAATATTTAAAGCTGAAATATCGACGTTATAACTCTATTTTAGTTAATAATTTATTTTTAATCGAAAAATAATTGAAATACTAAAAAACCAAGAGAAGTGTCGATATTTACATAGAATACCTGGGTCAAACCCACCCATCCAATGACTCACCCGATTGTAATGGGTAAACCAAAAATAACTGAGTAAACCAGAAATCCCTAAAATCAAACGCGATCTGTAATCGCGTGCTATTTCCTTATTTCTTTTAACTCTTCATTTTCTCTCTCGAAAACTCTCATTTTCTCTCTTCTCCCAGTGAACTCGAAACTCTCGGAGAAAAGGAAGAGATCTCGCAATTCCCATTTCTACCATCAAGAGGTGAAGCTTTCTACTTTCATCGGTCTAATATTTTTCATTTCATAGGGTTTCGTGAGATCTAGGGTTTCGAAGTTTCGTGAGATCTAGGGTTTCGAAGTTTCGTGAGATCTAGGGTTTCGAAGGGTTGTGTCTTGTAAATTAAGACGAATTAGGTATCGAATCGGATGTTGATTTGGTCGTTGGTTGCGTCGAATTGGTCTCATTATGTCGTGTCTCTCTCAAGTTGGTCTGATTCGAACATTGTTGTTACAGGAATTCAAAATGGCGAAAATACGATGGACTAATAAGAAGGGAAAGAAGAAAACGACGAAAACGAAAGCACAGAAGGATATAGCTACTCCTTCGAAAGAGGTTGATGTTGAGGAGAATGTAGCCACTCCTTCGAAAGAGGTTGATGTTGAGGAGAATGTAGTACCAGAGAAGAGAGAAGAGAGGTCACGAGAAGAGGAAGAGAGACCATAGGGAGTAAATAATGTAGAACAGAGTGTGGAGAAGTTAGGAGAAGAGGAAGAGAGATCAGAGGGTGAGAACGCAGTAGAAGAGAATGAGGAGAAGTCAGGGGAAGAGGAAGCGAGATCAGAGGACGATGAGGCTAAGTTGGATGACAATGAGGAAGAGAGGTCAGATGACAAAGATGCAGAGGTTGATGAGAATGAGGAAAATTCAGGAGAACATGAAGAGAGGTCAGATGAGAAAGATGCAGAGGTTGATGAGAATGAGGAAAATTCAGGAGAACATGAAGAGAGGTCAGATGACGAAGAGGCGAACTTGGATGGCAATGAGGAGAACTCACGAGAACAGGAACATAGGTCAAATGAAGAAGAGGCGAACTTGGACGACGAGGTTGTATTGGATCAGAATGATGTTGAAGGAGGTGGGGAAGAAGGAGGTACCAGTCACTTAAGAAAGGTTAGTTTGATAGAATGGTGATGTGTGATAGTTTCGTGTAGGAGTAGCTTAAATTAGAGAACTAATAAAAATTAACAAAAATGTTTGTGGCAGGATTCCGGTTTTGAGGAGCCACATGCGATCAAACCGTTGGGCATGTACTTTACACCGTCTGAGTATAGGAAGAAGATAAAGCTATCGACGCGGTGTTTTATTGCGGAAGTACTTAAAACCTTTAGGGAATTAGAACCTCCGATGAGTGCGCAAGAGAAGAATTGGTTTGAGAAGTATCCACAGTTCAAACACATATTCCACATGCCACAAATTGAAAATCACAAGGTAATGGGCATGTGGATGCTCCTTCTCAGAGCCGTACGGATTGTGAGGACAAAAGAAGCATGGTTTGCGGTGAATGGTTTTCCCATCAGGTATGGTATTAGAGAACATGCTCTGATATCTGGCTTGAACTGCAAGAACTACCCACTGAACTACAAGCGCAGTGGAGGCACGAGATTTGTGAGGAAATGCTTTGGTAGTGGAACAATAAGATATCAAGACGTGAAAGCAAAGGTGCAGGAGAGAATGGAACCTTCTACCGATAGGTTGAGGCTGCTGATCTTGTATTTCCTATCGAGTATTATAGTTGGGCAGAGAAAGACTGGTGATGATGCCCCTCCTGTGGAGCCATTCCTGCTGAGAGCAGTTGATGATCTCAACTTATGTAAAACATTTCCCTGGGGTAGATTGTCATTCGATTACATGCTGCAACAGATTTCTAACACTCTGAGGCACTTTGATGGGAATGTGAAAGAAGGTGTGATATGGCCAGTTCCCGGTTTCTGTATTCCAATGGAAGTAAGTGTATATTAGTTTAATGCTTTGAATTTTAATGGAAAATATGAAATTGACAGTTGAGAGTTTTGTGTATATGTGTAGCTCCTAGCATTTGAGGCGATCTCGACATTGGGCGACAAATTTCTAGAGTCAGTTGAAGACGAAGACGCGAACTTAGACCCAACATGCCCAAGAATGTGCCAATGTAAGTTCAAGAGGAGTGAAATGAAGGGATTTCCA